ACGACGCGGCGGCGACGGCGGCGGCGACGACGACCACCACGTTCTCGGAACTGGGCCTTCACTGATATCTTGTCCACGGATGCCCATATTTTTCCCTCCGCTCCGATCCTTTTTTCTCCTCGCTTCTTTCGACTCGGCTGTCCGTCAACGTCGTTGAAACGCCGTGTCTTTCCATCGATTTTCTTTTATCGTTATTATCATTATTATCGATTCGTTCGTTCTCGACGAGAATCGGGCCGGTACTCGAATAATTTACAATAAATCGATCAAATTCAAATTTAATATTTCTTTGTTTTTTTGTACGGATAATTCGTAGTAATTAGAAAAAAAAAATAGGTTTACAACGGATGAAAAATCGGTCGATTTTTCAAAAGAAACGAAACAAGGGCGTATAAGCAAAAATAGTAATATCGGCGCGCCATTCGAAACGTAGCCTGTTCACCGATCTCTCGACACGGTACGCGATATTTTCGAGCCAATTAATTTCCATAAAAATTGCGCGCGAACCGAAGAAGGCGACCCGAGAGGAGAGAAGTCGGCGGCGACGTGCCGATAAACTCGCCAGCCAATTACACCGAATTTATTCGCCACGACGTCGATTAGCCACACCGTGGCGAGGTGGCTCGAGGCCTCGATTATTCCCCGTGTTTCCATGCACGTCGTAATTCCTGACGGACTTCTCGACTCGACGGTGATACATCAGCGATGGTAATGGAGAGAAAGCGCGACGCGCGCGAATTTTTTCCCCGAGGCCGGATACGGTCGACGCGCGTGGGAGCAACCTTGGATCCATCCATCTTTCTGCACCGGGCTACACACCGGGATAAATTCTGCCTCCGTACCCATTTTCCACGATTCCTTGCGAGAGTAGACGAGCCTCCAACATTTTTCGCTTCGAGGAAAAAACGGAGTTAAATAACCGAGAATATTCTATAAATTGGCGTAAATCGACCAACGATTGGCTCGAGTGGATTGTTCGCACGTACGTATATAAGTAAGTAGGTATATAGAGGAGAGCTTTTCAATAGGAAGACATCGTTCCACGGATAATCGATCGTTTAACGCTCATCACCGGTTTTCGACGTTCCATTCGAGACGTGTTTGCACGCGCGTTATACGAATACGCACGCGTGTACGAGTTTTTTCCTCGGCCAAACTTTGCCAATTCGACGACACATCGATGTTAAATACGCATCCACGACTGGCTACCAGTATTTATTTGAAACTTCGTTCAATATATATATATTTTTAGATATTACGATTCTTAACTAAACACTTTGTTATTCGCGCGACACTTTTACCTTTAAAATTAAAATTGGGAAAAATGGTATGGAAATATCGGTTGTACACCGTAATCGAGTTTATCAAATGGAATAACGTCGCGAGATGGAAAAACGTTTTCTCGCGAAGAGCGTCGAGTCGCGGGAAGGAACGTTTCGCACGAGAGATACCCGTTGCTCGCCCCATAAATCTCTCTTCTTCCTTCTTCTAATCACCTTTTTCGATTTACGCTCGCTTCGAATACCGTTCCCCGCACTTCGATGAAAAAACTGTCTCGCAGAACCGTCCTTCGGGGAATAGAATGGAACGATCTTGTCGACGGAATGCGAAACATCGATCCCTTTTCTACGTACGTGGTGTATAGATATTGAAAAAAGAAGAAGAAAAAAAAAGAGGCGCGTTCGAAGGGGAGAGCCTTGATTCAAAAATTCGACGTTTCCCCCGTGCGGTCTTGGATCCCGTGAAACGGAGAGAGAGAGGAAGGGAGAGAGAGAAAGAGCAGTGGGAAGACAAAGTGGAGGATGAAGGCACGACGCAGGTGTGGCTAAACAGCCGGCAACGAGCAATCATGCGCTATTAAAATGGTGCAGCTCGAGTCCGGGAAGCACGATCGGCTATACCAAGAGTCGAAACCGAGTCCCGCTAATGCGGAGTCGTGAAACAAATTTATGCGTGCGTATCAGATGTCGGCAATTACGGTGAGTTAACGTTTCCGTGAATCTCGGGAAGACACTTCTCCTCGTGTAATCGCCGGGATCGACCGCGATCCCCGTTTCCCGCTCGTGGGATCATCCAGATCACCCATCGTTCGAGAAAAGATTTCACTCGTGAAATCCTTGGAACCGGAGTTTGAAACGTTAATCGTTAGAATTACGCGCCATCGATAATTCTTGATTATACGCTTTCCACCGATTATCTCCAATTTTTAAATATTCCATTTGAAAATTTCAACTCCTCGTCGAAGCGAATTTCTATCTAGGAGAACCTAGATAGAACGGGGATAAAAAAAAAAACTGCAACCTATTATTATTATTTTAAATTTTTAAAAAGGAAATTTTCGAATCGTTAAAACGTACGTTCCATTTTTCCAATCAAGCTGAATCAATTTCAACGATCCTTCGAAACCTTCGAAAAACCTTCGAAAAATGTGAAAGAAAGAAAGGAGTAATATGCATAAATCGAGGAATGAAACGCGGAATATACAGCTATTGCGAAAGGAAATTACGTTACGATGAAACGATGATAGATTTTTTTTCATGTGCACTTGGTTGTACACGGATAACGGATTAAGATAAGCAAATGCAAAATAAATTGTGCAACGTTCTCACGAGTTTACGTCTCGTCTCTGCGTGTAACTCGTACACACGATAATTAATACGAAGCGATTGGTAGCGTTTAATCGGCGAGTCGAGTAAAAAGACGAACGAGATAAAAAAGAATGGCGAACACAGGTTGGAGAAAAGAAGAAAGGGAGAAATTGTTCCCACACGAGAAGAGAAGCTTAGGGGCTTGCCGCTCGCGCGGCATTGACCTTTAGCACCGCGATCCGCGTTAATCCTCCTCCTCCCCCACCTCTACTCGGATTCAACGATGAATGAAACGATCCCGGCCATTAATCGTCTCGGTGCGGCGCGGCGTGGCGCGGCGTGGCGCGACGTTTCCACGAAGGAACGCTCGACTCGGCGCCGAGCTATCCCGCTTTCCATTCCAATTCCACGATATTTCGCTCTCAGTTCAAAACGCGATCGCGAATTTTCGTGGAAGAAAATTCGTGAACTCCGCGAAGCAATTTCAATTTTATCTCTTGGCATTTTTTTTTTTCGCGAAAGACCATCGATATCGTCGCTTGGTAATTTTTACGAACGAGTCGCTCGTCTTCTTTCGATTTAGAAGAGTGGATAGATGGTCGTCGGTCGGGTATTCATAATTATTTTACTCGAATCTTTTGTACTCGACGAGTTTTTCAATCGGTAGCTTTGAAAAAAAAAGTCTTATTATTTAAATACGTTATTACAGGATATGGAAGGTCCTGGTTTACGAAGCGAAGGTTAATTTCTCCTCTTTCTTATTTCATTATGCAAATTTGCATCGAGGCAAAAACATGGAGGATCGATTTAACCTAGGTAGTTTTCCACGTACCATGCACCATCAACCTCTGGCGATAACTGGTTGGAAAATTTTACGAGTGTCCAATGAAAAAGACCAGGTGGATATTACTAGGAAAATAAAACAGTCGGTAATGAAATCTTTCGTTTACGTATCGGTTTTTAATTGATAAAGCGTTGAACGACCGCACAGTGCGTAACGTTCGTTTACAGTCCTCGGAAACATTACGCTCGGTTGATGAGAATTTGACGAAGAGATGAATTTGAAAGAGAAAAGAAATTCCGTTGATAGGATTCGTTGAATGAAAACGGATGATCGCGAGGGATCGTTTAATGGCCGACGCGTTCGATCATTGTCGCGCGATTGCTTCGTTAACGATCGTTTTACAAGCTTGGAGGGAAGGAGGTAACGATTATACCTCGCGGATAGATTGCTAGAATACATACATGGATAAATTTTCAAACTTTCTCCGAGACAAAACGTACGACGCGAAAAAATATTAAATATTAATATTCTCCTCTTTCGCGAAACAGATACCCTTTCGTCGCGAACCTCGAAGCCTCGAGACGTATCCGTGTAAATGGAAATTACGAATCGCCCGCGTTTCAATTAAAATTATCTAATTCTATTCTCGAATAGTTGAATCGATCGACCCGTACAGGGAACGCGTTGGCACGGTGTATTATTGGATCGCTGCGGGCAACTATTAATTCTCGAGAATAGGAGGAGATTCGAATTATCGGATGTCCATGCTAGGCGAATTCTAACCTATACTCGGATCGATTCCGACTTTTGCGTCGGATACATAATTATTTCTAATCGGGCATCAATTTTCGTATCAATTTCTAATCTCGTAAATTTTTACAAGAGCTTGATGGAGAGATGATGAGATCGGAGATCGTCGACCATAAGAATTCCGTAAGTAAATACGTAAGTACACGCGTATGTAGGACGACGCGTTATCGAAACTGATTTCCAACATTTATTGACCTTGTTCGATAACGTACGACGTAAATCACGACGTATGTCGACTAAATTCCATTCCAAACATTGTTTATATACACGTAGGTATATTTACGAGGAGACGATGCTCGAGTCAGTATCGGTCGCGCCATCGTCGCAGAAACACTTTCCGCTATTTCATCGAGATATTACGTATACTATATACATATATATATTCTTTCATCCTCGCGGAGATTCGCAACCGTCGTTTAATCGTTGCAAAGAAATGTGAAAAGTAATCCCATCGGTTGATCATCCGTCACGACACGTCTCCACGGTGAACAATGACATTGGCGATTTCTGCTTTTGTTCCGGCTGGTTCGTTTCGAGGTTTCGTCTGGCCACGTAAACCAGTTGGAGCGTGTAGGCGGTCGACCAAGAGCGGGACGAGACACGCGCGTTTACGCGTTTCCATAATAAAACACAATGCATCCAATGGGAGGTATATTCTTCGGGCCTACGCCTCGGAGATCCGCCATTCAAGGTTTCTCGGGGTACGTCCGTGCAATCGTAAAGCAACGTCCATCGCGAAGGAAGCGTGCCTCTTGAAATGTTTATACCACGAGCTCGAGACCTCGGCCACAAAATCTTGTGGCGCAATAACAGCGCAAGGACGCGGTTTCGACGTCGCGATCGTGAAAAGAACTCGACATGTCGGTGGGTAACGGGAAAAAAAACTCGCGATCGTAAACCTTTTGTCGCCATCGTCATCGATATCTTTACGATCGTCTTCTGACATCGCGATGGATTACACCACCGTAATTAGGAACGAAGAACATTGATTTCGATAAAGCGAGGACGTTCGAAAGCGAGAAACGAGACGAGAGATGGCGATCCATTTCGCCTACAAAACAATGGAACGAATCGAACGTTTCGTGTTCTCGAAAGATTGGATTCTTCGAATGATGATAAACCGATTCGAGATAATTTAACACGCTGGTAACTATACGTGTTAAGTTAGGTCAAGATTTGGAATCTTGACTGGATATTTTATTGGAGATCGAACACAGTTCGAGCGAAAAGGAAATATTAATCACGCGAGGGTAAAAACGAGCAAGATGACCAGGTGCAACATCCTTGGATCTTGGAGTTCCCGCGTTGTATTACAGGGCGTAGTAAATTTGCATATTTTTTTCATTACGTGAAAACATAGTAGCAGCGATAATCTGTGCGAACAAGAGAAGAAAGACACACGCAGCAACGATATCGAAAGCTCTACTTTGACTCGATTCTAAGTTCTTCTTATCAATTTCCTGAATCCTTAACGAGGGAGAAAACTCGGATAATCTAGGCGAATCGCATCCTCGGATTACGTGGCTAATAGTTCGTTCTCCGTGATTTAAGGCGAGTGATCGCGGAAATTGTCTCGACGCGGCGATCTCGGCTACGATTACCACGAATTTACCGTATACGTATATATTTAAATGGACGACTTAAAAAAAAGACGATCATAGTAGTGATCGATGATAACAACCGCACGCGTCCGTTTCCTGCTTTTATCCATGGCACGTTAAATAAGCCCGATCGTAAAACGGAAAGTGAATTTATATATATTTCTTCTCGTTGGAAACTGTTGCGTGAAACTTGACGTTCGACTCCGATCGACAGCTCGATTCTGGTTTATAGACACACGGTAGTGACATGTGCTAACCGGACGCTTGAAATCGATCAGCGGGGATCCGTAAGCCACACCTGCAATCGATAGCCACCAGAAAACCGCACGCGTTACGTTTCCTGGCAATGAAGTGCTCCTTTTACGAGGACGCGGGAAAGGGATGTCGTAGTCGAAGAGACGTGGACGGTTAACGAGGCTCGACGTATATCGGGTGTCTTTAAATATCAATATATTAGATTAAGGAAAAAAGGTGGCCGCTGTTGCTCGAACGGGATTCGATGGGAGAGAAAAATTGAAATTTCTTTTCTCTTATTACGCGAGAAATGTAAAAATCGAATCTGGATTCCTTGCATTCCAGAAATCGAATTATGTACAGTTGGTTTAATTTAATCCAAGAAACGGTACAAAGAGGCAATCTGATTGACGTTTAATGTTTAAATTTACGCAATAGGTATGCAAATAAGAACGTAATCGCGAACATATGATGCGTATATAAAGTGAGTAATAAGTTTGATTTCCAGGAACAATATATACGTATTTGCTTTAATCGAACGAATCAAGCTGACGCGAATCGACGAAAATAGGATTCGCGTAAATTTGAAAAAAATTTGAAAATTGTTCGTAAATTTTTTATTTCTCGGAAATAAGAAATAGAAATAGAGATCGACAAATTGACTTTTCGAAACTATACATTTCAACATTTCGCAATTATTTAATTCGTTATTCCGAAATGGTGTCATTTTATTTTTTTTATAAAGAATAATGTCGTTGCTCTAACTCGTTTTTCGGGAACAAAGATGAGTGAAACGGTGGACACGCCTAATTCCACTCGAAATCTATTTCGGAAGCATATACTGCGATAATTGAATCAAAAAGTAAAAAAAAAAAAAAAAAGAAAGTAAACGACACGAGAAGTGAAAAATGCGGCGCGATACGAAAGAAACAGCAAAGTAATTCCGGTCAAGGAAGCTGAATCTGAAAATTATATGGAGCTCGGTTTCTACTTTCTTCCCCCCCTCCCTTACTTTCTACTCCGTAACTAGCAACTCTGCATTTAGCGTGAAAACAAGCCGCTTTGTATATTTCATGCCTTCGCGTCGAGAACACGAATTTTAAGTAACGAGTCTCGGGTCACGATAAATTAGCTTTGGGACTAGTTTCACGGAGATACGTTCTCTCCCGGTTTCGGACCGCGAGTGACGTTGAAATATTAAAACGAACCGGAGTCCGACCTTGTCGACGATCCTTTTTACTACCGGTTCATCTCGTACTTTGTGCCTCGGCTCGAGTGACGAGCGCACAATGAGAAATCGCTTCTGTTTGGATGCTGCCTTCTGTCTTCTCGCTTTTAACGTCTGCGCTTCGTTTTCAGACATTCTCGAGATCTTCTTGGCGATTGCCTCGTCAAGAGAGGCGCGAGAGAAAAATAAAGAGAATAACGAGGTCATCTTGTTTAATCGTAAGTATCAAAGTTTCTACGAATAAAATTGAACGGCATTCTCGATATTTTTTTATCAATCGCTCTATAATCGATTCAAGCTATGTTATTCCCTAACCTCGTTATCGACGTCCTCTCTCTTCTCCAATTTTGACACGCGTAAGTAATCGTTCTTGCAAAGATTCTTCGCGCTTTATTCTTTAATTCGATTTTTCGACAAACAACGAGATATATCATTCCCGTGTGCCATTATTCAAACACGGTATATGCAACCTACGAAGGTTCAGCGAATTCCTTCGGGCGAAAGAACGAGGCCTGTCATCGCACGCGGAAACGGAGAATATGGAACGTGGTCGCGTCGTAAATCGACACGTAGCACCGAGGACGAACACCGTCTCCTCTTTCCGTGAGGTCAGCGAAGGAGCCGGAAATGCGGGCCTCCATCGAGCCCCGTGGACGTGTACTTATGCTCTCGCTGGCCTCCAAGGTCAAATCGTTGCCGAGATCGGCGACGATCCTCGCTCGAAGAGAACGAAGGTAGATTTATCGAAGCGAAGGAAAAAAAATCATTCTCTCGACGAGAACGGATTCTCTTCCTCTTTTATTTCTGTTACTTATTTTTCTCGTTTCCAAGTTAGATTAGATTAGATTGATTAGGATATTTGAAACAGGAGTATCCCGCGAGAGTCGAACGAACGATAAGATGACGTATTCCCGAATTTCCAACGTTTATTAGTCCTACGTGGTTAGGTTAAGTTAACGATTTCGAGTTGTTTTATTACAAATAAAAGAATCTTTACAAATACATATCCTGTTCCGACAATGTTCTCTCGATGATAAATTGGTCGATTTTCTCGAGAAAGCCATTCGGTTGGAAAAGAGGGAACAAAAAGCTTGTGGTTACGAGCAATTAGATGATTCATAGAACACGTTTGTGCTTCTATTTGTTTTTTACGAATAAAAGCTTTTTTATTCTTTAACCTTAACAGATTAGTGATTTCAGCCTTGATAAAACGTACCCGATAAGTGTACTAATATATGTATATCAATATCGATAATATTAGACATTTTTTCATCGCGGCAATACTCTCTGTTTGTCGAACTTGTGGAATTTCTCGAGTAGATAATTGAACGACAAATAACACAGGGATTAAATATTTCTCGCGTGTTTCTCGCGAGAAATCTTTCTCCTTAATTAGCTCGGTGTTAATTTTACGGAGATCACGTCATTGTGATAAGCACGCTAAACTGGCGAGCGACGCTATACCGCTGTTCGTTACATTTCGTTTACCGTGTCTTTCGTAGAAGCTTTCGTTTCTCACGCACCGTCGCTCGCGCTTTCATACTAAATTCGAGTAATTTGAAAAATTGTACGACAGAATATGAGCTATTAATTTACACGGATAAAATAGATATAAGAGATACGTGATTCACGCGTAGATACAAAATTCTTGGTGTAAAGATTTCGAAGATTTAAGAATATTTCGCGATATCTGGAATTTTATCTCAACGTTAACTCTAATAAATCGAGTAAAAGAATCTAATATTTTTCGAGAAATTTTGCCACGTTAAGTTTCATTATTTTTTATTACGAGTTGCGAATCTTTATTATTACTACGAGCATTGATCGGCCATTAAAAGTTAGAAGATATATTTCACGCGTCTGATGCCAAAATTTTCAACAATTTTCATAACGAAAAAATAATTAGTTTCCATTTCGAATCGTTTCGTAATTTCATCGCGTTATTCGAAGAGTTAAAAATAATGGAGCTCGGATTGGAAGAGAGCGGTTATGCTTCCCCTTTCGCGAGTCCTCTTTACCGTTGGGATGACAAAAGATGGGCGCTACTTTTCACGCTAACGCGAGAGGAAACGGGGGGGAAAAAAAGCATCCGCTCGTACGTGAAAATTGTATCGCGATCCGGTGATCAGTCTGAGAAACGTTGGAAATCGTTACGACACACCGTATGTCACGATGGCCCACGAAGAGACAAAGAAACGTTAGATGCATCCGTGAATAAAATCGTGCTCGCGTGTATCTAAATGTTCCCACGTGTTACTGGGTCAGTATACTTTTTAAAAGCGAGTACCGTACGGTCACCTTAACCCGTAGATAATCTACCAACCTTTGGGGTCTTTCTTCTGTTATAAAGACATTATTCTCGCTCGAAAAAAACTCGTAACATTTCTCGTGAACGCATCTTCGAATTTCGACGCGCACGAACAATCGCAATCGGCTTTGTCGTTTATTTTATCAAAATAATTTTACTCGAAGATAAAAAAAAAAATAACAATTTTAACTTTGATATTTTAAGACTAATACAAGAACGTTAAAATCATTTACGAGTAATTTTTCATCTGTGTGAACGCGATAGGATTCTATTTGGATTTTCTTTGCAAAAATTTTATTTAAAAGAAAAAAAACGTATTTCTATCATTCTCAAAAAATAGTAAAATTAATCTTCGCGATCATTTACCGGGTGATTCATCGAACAGCAATAAATTTGTACGACACAGGAGATTAGCTGTATAGCCGGCGATCAACAAATTGTTACCAGTTTCTTGCGACTTTTGTCCGTTCTCCGGCAGAGAGACTTGGCGCGTCACGGTTTATCAATTGACGACGTTATCGACAACGCGAGGCAACGCTTACACATCCATTACACGTCCGGGATAATTGCACGGCTGTTTGGAACGAGAAGACTCGCGGCTAATTAACGTTTATCCCTATCGGTGGGATCGTTACGCGGTCTTCGAGAGCGACCAAACCTCGCAAAACCTTCGCGAAACTTGACGTTCCCGCGATTTCCACGAAAGCCATCGCGATGCGCCGCAGCTCGTAAATCCCGCCGCTTACCGTTACCACTCGAGGAGAGAAGGAGGAACGAAAAGGAACGAAAAAAAGAGAGGAAAGAACGTCTCTTCGAAGCGCGAAAATATAATTGCACTTCTCGAACACTGACCCAAAACGGCGAATCATCCACGGATCGGACGAGATTTCGCGTCGAGAAGATTTCCAAGAGTTTACCTCAGTGGCGCCATCCTCAGTTGCGGCAAATCTCGCGGCGCAAAGATTAGTTTCGCAATCGTCCGAGCCAACGGTGAATCGCGACGAGATTCATCTTGGAGACAGATTTGATCCATCCATAAATTAGAAACGTAGGCGACGCTTATCGACGGAAATTCGGAGACGATCCGCACGAATCGTTAGGTTAGGTTGGTCGGAAAACCGAAAAACGGAATTCTTTTTGCGTTCGTAAACGATGGGCTGCTATTGGTAATACGCGATAACCAATAAGGCAACGTTTATACGACTTTGAAACGTGGCGCAGTTATAGCAAAACTGTGGAGAAACGGCGGAGAAAAGGGGCGTTTAACGATGCGGTTAAATTGCGAGTTAAGAATACGGATTTTTAAGAGGAAAATTTTTTTACATACGATAAATGCGAGAGCGGGTTAAGGTCTTTTTAAAAATACGGTTTCGTATGGCTACATCGATTTAAGGACGGAAGAATCGTCGATAAATCACATTCGCAATTACAACTTTAATTAGACCATGTAACAATATCTAGTTAGCGCAACACGATCGTTTGATCGGCTACGTGACTAACGAGAAATGTCGCTTTACGAGCGTGAAATGAAGGGACTCTCGGTGACTGCCTAATTAGTTCATGAATCGATTTGGAGTCGCGCGATGAATGAAGATAAGATTCGATAAAAAATCACATCGGATCGCTTGTCTATCTTTCATAGAACCATTGATGCAATTATCAAACTATGGATAGATCATCATCCCGCTTTATAAACAATACTTTCACCTATTGCCACGATCAAATTCGATGGCACAAGCGGTTAATTATCTCGAACAACGTCACAGCCGTTTCAGCTGTTTCTAATAGATGTCTCGATCGAATAACGATCGAAACGTTAACGAGAACGGAAATTGTGTCCTCGTAGATCGTAACGATGCGTTTTCAAGAAGAAACAACGAAATCGATTCGAACGAAAATCGCATAAAATAGATGAAAATAACCAATCGTACGATTCGATCCTCGGTCATACCAATCATTTTTGCTGTGAATTACGATTCTTCTCGAACGTTGTTTTCTGCAGCCAATTTTATCGATCTCGATGAAAAATGTATCGGGATCGATCCGGAGACCAGTTTGCTCGATTCACGGATGCCACGGATGTTCCGACTTTCGAGCGGACTTTTCTTCGTAGTTTATAGAGCCGCGCAAACGTTAAACGGACCCGGTCTACGTGGCTAGTCGGAAAACGGTAGTCGTGTCACGAGTGGATAAAACGTGTACCCGTCAATCGAGATGCCAAGAAGATCGATCGAGCAGTTACGCGTTAATTGTATAATTCTACAGGCAAGTTGCTCGTTGCGCAACTCGTGGTTCCACCGTCCCATTGTCCTCTCAAAGCCAGACGTACTCTATGGCCTGTCGATCGAAAGCCGCGTCGAGTCTCGAAATGTCGTTGTCGTTCGCGTAATTATGCACGCGAGCTATTGCATATTCGTGATACCCGTATAATCCGCGTAAAGTCGCGCGAGTGGCAAAGGTTATCGTTCCAGGTACCGGGGCCGATCGATACATTTGCCACCGTTTGGTCGATGTTACCGGTTCGACCAACGTCTTTCTTCTTTTCTCTCATAATCTCTTCCCTTATCGAGATGATGGGTCGTCCGTTTCGTTATACCGTTTCGAAGAACGGCAAGATTCCGCTACGATAAGCTCGATAACAACGTGTCATTATCGGGTAAATAGACGTGCGGATAGGCTTACAAGTTGGCCCAATAAACGACGGAGGTAGCGCGACAGCGTTCGATCGAATCAATTCTCTTCAGATAAACGGATTCGATTATTGGAACTCGCGCGCAAGACTCGAGGTGACTCGTAATAGAGAGCTGTTGTTCGAGGAGAGAGAGAGAGAGAGAGAGAGACTCGTCGAACCACCGAGAGAAGACGCGTGCGTGACTGGATACGCGTTTGTCCCAATGGCGGAGAGGTTAGGTAACGGTGCAAACGGTCGAGTAGCTAGCAAGCTGCGAGGAAGATGCGTGCGACCAAGATTCGAAAAGGATATCTTTTTCGAAATCCCGTACGTCGTTTCCACCCAATTAGCTTTTCGTCACGATCTTGGAACGTGATCCATATTTTTCCACACTGGACAATTGCCAGTCTCCAACGATTATCGTTTCGTTCGCAAGAGTGAGACGATGACAACAAGAGACAAATCTAGGAGAAACCCTTCGAGTCTATGCCTGGTAGAGATATGGGACTCGAGATCTGGGAGGAGAGAAACGGAGAAAGCGAAAGCTCGAGTCATCGCGATGAATCCGGAAGTTTCTCCTCGGGGAGGAATTCCGGATCGAATCGTGACGCTCGCCTGGCCGAGGAGCCACGGTTCGATATCGAGACAGATGGTTGGGCACGAAAGAGAGATATCGAGAGTTGGAGGAGCATTGGAGGAAAATTGTAAAAAGAGATTTTATTCTCGTTTATTCGACAGCGATACGAAAGATTTCGAGGTGTTGGAGACAACGAATGGGAGGAATCGTTGTCGCGTTGATGAAATCAGACGACGATTGGCAATTTATCGTTGCGAACAAAGGTGGTATTCTTCGAGTATTCCCCAACAATTTTTACCAAGACACGAGGCGAGACGCGGACGGGCACGCGGACCACCTGTACAACATTTTCGAAACTCGACACCGAGCTTCCACGTGACTTAACGAGCCTTAACGATCGACCGTGCAGGGTTTTCTTTTCTTTTTTTTTAAAGTTGCATGCTTTTCGATCAAACACCGCGGGTATTCAGGGGCCAACCAGATGTATGGGAGGTAAGCCGAGACGCGGTAAGGTCTAACTCCGGTTGGATCCTTCGAACGTAAGGTCGAGGCGTCATTCCTCGGGACCACCTGGTAACCGGCAATCGTATACGTGTATTCTCGGTCCTCGAAATTCCTATGATTCGAAGCGGAAACGATCCTGCGGCCGATACCGGTTGATCGAGGAGCAAAGATTCGTTTTCGCTCGTCGCCTCTCGGAAGTATTACGAGAGGAGAAATTCGCGAGAAGAGAATCGATCGGCTCGTTTCGAATGGATTTCTCGAATGAGGTACGGTGGTTAAAATTATCAATCGTTCGAGAAGGCAAGATTAAAACGCAAGTTTCGTGGAACTCGTTTGTCACTTTTAAGAAAGTCTCTCTCTCTCTCTCTGTAATTCGTCACCGTTGTGCGAAAGAGTGAGTCGAAAGGTGACGACGCTTGGAGAATCTTGGACGAAAATACAGTCGTGGCAAATGAATGCGAATAAATTTGCTCGACCGATATATCGCGAACGTAAATTTCGTAATTCGTTCGAATGGAAAAAAAGAAAAGCGAGAGACAGAGGAGAAATTTTTTCGGATTTTTGATCGGAAAGTTGGAGAGTTAAAGTAGTCGTTGTTGTTGTTGTTGTTGTTGTCCGCAAAAGAATGGCGTTCTCGCGTTGCGGAATCGAGGAGGATGGCGACCGGCAATAAATTACGAAGATTGATGTTTGGCAAATGAAAGGCGATCCGGCGGAGGCAGCAGCAGCAGAAGAAGAAGAAGAAGAAGAAGAAGAAGAAGAAGAAGAAGAAGAAGAAGAAACGGCGCGCCGCCGCATGGCGGAAGAAGAGGGGTTTAAACGGGCACGGTGGAGCGCGGTCGGAAGAGCTGACAAAGAAATGGTCTCGCC